TACTTAACGTACGATCTATAGTAGCAATTAATGTTTACGTTAGTTGAGTCTATTGTACGGGTCTATATCGCAAGCCCGACAACCGAAAGACCGTCTGTATATTTGTACGTTAGTTGAGTCTATTGTACGGGTCTATATCGCAAGCCCGACAACCGAAAGACCGTCTGTTTAAATCCCGACTATATCAAAATCTCGACAACCATAATCCCGATTGTATCAAAATCTCGACAACCATAATCCCGACTGTACAAAATCGCGACTATATCGAAAATTTCTACAATAACATTTTTAAATTTCGGATCGTAGTCACCTTGTGCTACACTTTTATTATTAATAACAATAAATTATTATTAATTTATTTTATTTTGTTGAATTATTCATAATAAACCTTAACATTATGAAATAATCTCAAATACAATTAGATTATTAATTGTTATTATTTATTATTAATAAAAATTTAAAGGTCACTACACTTCGGAATAATTTAAAAAAATTATTGTAGACATTTTCGATATAGTCGGGATTTTGATATAGTTAGGATTATGGTTGTCGGGATTTCGATACAGTCGGAATTTCAAACGTCGGGAATTTAATTGGCGGTATTTCGGTTGTCGGGTTTGCGATTGCCACCGCTATTGTACGTAATATCGAATGTCTGCTTAACGTACGTTATATAGTACGTAAAGTAGTATTTTTCTCGTTTTATTCCCTACACTTTACATCGTATACAAATAATGGAATTCATCGATAATCTTATATGTATTTTGATCCGTCGGACAGCATTCCGATCCTGTTTATTTTTATGCGGGTTGTGCGCATCGGCAACGGATGGCAGGCAGGCAGGAGCGAATGGATGGATGGAAATTGTAAATGCATTGGAATGGAATTAACCGGTTTGCCGGTTCTTCAAACAAACCAATTTCCTCGCTTCAGGCGTTGTCATTAAACTTATTAAACTTACCATCTAGTGCAGACCGTGTGCTAGTATGGATGGTGCAGTTAAAGAGATTAAAGCTTCTGTCACACATTATTTTATTTCGCAACATTTTTTTTTAAATTTCTTTTTGTTGTTGCATTCGTTTTTCATCGCACGTAATTCGAAGCCGGTAATTTATCAACGGACTGATCCTTTCCTGTCCGTCCGATATTATATTATTCATAAAACAAATGTAATTACCCGCCCGTAATTGCGATCGGAATAATAAATGCAATTTAAAAAATGCCCGCATGAAACATGCAACGATAACCTTTGTGATTTTTTTTTTGTATATTGTGTTAAATCCGTTGATTACACTGTTTTTTTTATATTTTCGGAATAATTTTTCTCTATCAAAAATGGATTGTTCTATTGCGGCAAATAATTTATTAGCAATTGGCTTTTGTGTCAATACGATTGGCGTATTTTCATCGATTTTATTCAAAATAAAATTTTCGATATTTTTGTTTTTTTTTTTCATAACAAACTTTATAACGCTTCATGTCAATTTAAACTAATGTATAGATAAATGTTTAAACTAGAAATTAAAGAAAACTTTAAAGCAATATCTAGAATTCAAAAAAAATTGTAGTTGAAAACTGGTAGGAAAAAAGGAATAAATATATTTTTATAAAAAAAAATAATAATTAATTACATGAATATTCTAATTAATAATTATAATAACTTATAAATTAATAGACTACAACTAATTTAGGTTTATTTCTTCTCAAATTGAATACGTACTAGATTATTTGTGATAATTCATAGTATATAATAATTAGATGTTTTTTTTTATTTTATTCACAATTATGATGATTTTTTTTAAATTTTTAATTTGTATGCTCTGCGGTTCCACTATTTCCTTTCATTATCCATCGACTTGGCCATATGCTGAACCTCATTCATTTCACTGTACATCTGTGACTAACGATAGCCCTATTGCTGCAAACACCGAGAGTGTTCACAAAGGGCCTGACTTAACCATTCGGCTATTAAATAAATACAAATTAGTTCAAATATAATTATTCATTACAATTTTTTTGTAGAAGAGAGGAAACCTTACATACGGACTACGGGTGGTACTGTGGAATTCTTACCGCACTAAAACCTCTCTCCTTCTTCATCAGCATCCAGGTCCGGTGTTTTCTCATGTCTCTGATTGTCTGAGCTTATTGTCTGAGCAAGCTCTATGATTCTATGTGTGTCCACTATCATATTCTTCCCTTTCTCTCTCCATCTTTCGCTTATCATTTTCGTTAACCCCTACGCTGCGATCATATAGATGTGTGGATTGTCATTGCATCATATAAATTTGTCAATTTTTCTGATTTTTTCATATCTACTGTTTCAACAAGTAAAATGTTTGCGTTTTGTAGGTAAATATTGTTTGAACAGCAATCTGCCTTTCCAAAGCATAAGTGATTCATCCAAGGCAACAACTTGATCTAGTGTATAGAACCTGCAGAATTTCTCATTCAAAACATCTATCAATGGACGGATCTTGAATAGTCTATCACGATTCTTATCATGAGGATCTGGAGCATCATCATTATTTTCATATTGGAAACAAATTAAAATCAACTGATATCGATCTCTTGTCATTACACTACCAAATGTAGGAGTGCTATATAAAAAATATGTTGACCTTTTTGATTATTCCCACAAGCAATATCAGACCAATAAAATTGAACATTTTCGACTTGGTAACATGTACCCATTTGCGTATTTTCTTTGCTAATTGAGTAGCATTATTTGTCTGCCATTGTTCAGCATATCTGTTTATTTCTATTAAAAAAAAACAATTTATCAAATCATCATCTAAATACAGTTTGAATTAGTCCAGCAATTGTTATTTTTGATGGTGTGCGATAGCAATTAAATTCAGTGTGCGACATGACGAGACATACTCGTCACTCGCACATGAGAATACACTTTCATGATGAGACATCCTCGTCCTCCGCAGTGAAGGGTTTAATGGAGAGCACCCCTGCTACGTAGTTTGTGATGATGTCCCACTTTTCTTTGCTCTTTAGCATCACGTCAACGAACGTCTTCGGTTTCAACACTTCTCCGAGATTTCATTCCGCTTCATCGTCGCCCATCTGCAACATCCAAAGAACGTGTGTTCTGGGCTATCAATAGTCTTCAACTAATTCATATGTTTCTTTTTAATTCATTCAATTATTATTAGATAATTTGGTAAAATTTGTTCAAATTTGAAGAAATCTTATAAAAACTCATCAATAAGAAATATCATGGAAATCCGCATTAAAAATCGCATAGAAATTCCTTAAATATATAGTAGGAACTCCCATAGAAATCATTCAAAGAAATTCCTTAAATATCTGATAGAAACCACATAAAAATCGCTTAGAAATCTCAAGATTACAGTATACATTTTAAGAAACAAATTGTCATTGTAGTTCCGCCACTTATTTAACTTTGAATAAACTTCTTCAAATATAAATAAATATCTTCGAACAAAATATTTCCGTTTCTTGATAAATCGAATTATTTGCAAAATTCTATTCTATTGAGTTTGTTTAAACAGCAAAGTATCAAATAGCGTTTACAAAGTACAACAAAAATGAATCACATAAAAAAGTCAAGTATGCCTTGATATATGGATTCCATAGCTACAAGAACAAATCAAAAAACAAACGCAACTTTTTTTTTCCATTATTCAGAAAACAAAATCGAAACGAATTCAAGTCACATATTCGAAACCGTTTGAACGGCTGCAAGCAGATTAAATACGCTGTTCACATAAGCTCGGATAATATAAAGAAGACAAATATATTTATTATTTTTTCCATCGTTACATCAGGTATTAACTAATTATTTAATAATAATAATATTAAATATTAAAATTATTTTTTTTTTTAGTTACATTTGGTATCATTATTTTATTACCGTTACTATAGAAATTTAACAGAAATGTCAGACGTCAGTGTGAATGCGTTCGAGGCTCACAAGAATTTCATCCCGATTGTGTTCGACAAGGTTATTCCCGGAAATCACGAGAAATACGTGTATCATGACGATGATGACACGTCCTCAGATTCGGATTCGAATTCTGATGCTGACAGCGACTCTTCGGAGGATTCAATTGAATTCCTCATATTCGACGATGATGACGTCATTGTCGTTATGCAGGAGGACGATGATGACGAAGATTATTCTGAGTACGGGTTACCTGGTACGATGGGAGTCGACGCATTTGCCCTTTACGCAATAGACAGGGAGCCCTAATTTTATTACAAGTTAGTACCAATAGTCTACCGGTATTACGTTTATGCATGTTTATTATTTTAGAATTGTTTAATTTACGTAAAAAACATTTATGTTTTTCCATAAATTAACAAAAAAAACAAACCGAAAATAATAATAATCGAAACGTGATAGTCCAGCCATAATACATTCCATATTCATTTGTCTTAATTGTATTCTTATTATTCAGTGTTATTTATGCGTTTCTCGTGTATTATTAGATTATTGTTTATATTTATTTATAAATTAGTATTTATTATTTTTCACAACAACAAAAATAATAATATTAAATCAGTTTAATAATGACAATTACAATGTTTTATTTTTTCTTTAATTACAAATTCCTTCTTTTAACGTTAACTTCTTTGATGATCCTGGTTTACTATATGTATATTAAATTAGTACAAGTTTATCACCATTATCTTTTCTATAGAGACCACGAGTGAAGTTGTGGTACTGTGGTACTGTCATCTTCTTCACAGATCCAGCAATCTTCAACCTCCTTCCTAGCTTTGAAGTGCAGATAGTTGCTTAAAGACACAAATAAGCTCTCATCTAAGAGAGCACTCCTACATTTAGCTGCGTCTTGTCGACGCCAGTCACATGTGTGGTAGCTATCCGGATTTGTAGCTTAAGCTAGGCCTAAAAACCATTGGCTCATGAATGATTCATGAGTCTGGAAAACTTCGGCTTGATATCACTTCAGTGGCAATGGTGCATGGAGTGAAGGTATTCAGTATGGATCGGGGTCCCAGCGATTCTACAATTATGGAATGGAGGAACCTCGGAATGGTGTATTAGTTGCTACTGAATGTTAAGAAGTTGGATTTAGCGATGATTACAGAGGTGGAAAGTTGTTCCACCGTGATTTCTAGCAATGCAAGGTCATCTTTCTGGGATTAGATGTCGGGTTCAGGCTCGTTCCTCTGTGCTATACTATTTTTCTGCGAATTTTCCAGCAGTCTAGCCCTGACAGTTTCCTTGCTTACTCCTCTCTCTTGGAGCTCGATTGGTGGCATGCCAGCTATTATTTGCACTGCGTCTCTGAAGATTTTTCTGCACGCCCTGCAGACTCTTATTGCAGAACCGTTTCCAGTTCTCATCTGCAGCTTTTCACCTTCATTGCATCTTTCCATACAGGAGCAGCGTACAGCATTATAGACTGTACCACTACTCCTAGTAATCATTAAAGTTTTACCATATAAAATTTTCAAATACTATTTATGTTTACGTTCTTCTAATCTGTTGAATATTTATTTAAGTTGATTTGTTTTCATAAGTTTTACTTGTAAATACATTTTTTCATTATCTTTACTAGTTTATATGGAATTTCATAAACATTTACGTATTTACGTATCTAATTTATATTCATTCATCTACATTCTCTGTAAAGTTTTAAGATCTCTAATGATTTTCTATTAAAAAAGACTAATTTGTAACATTGTAAAATTATAAGTGAAAAATTGTTAAATTTTTCTTTTCTTCAAAGCTATTAAATACTTATCTAAAGGGGCAGATTGTTTAAGCAAATACTTTTTTTTAGAAGAAAATTAATAATTTTCTAAATAATATCTAAAATCACTAACTAAATATAACAAACATTAGTGAAAAACTATTAAATACTATGGTTTTTCTATTTGTTGATATATTTGTATTTTTTTATTTGGTTAAGGAAATATGAATTAATTGAAAAAAAAAATCTGTTTATGAATGGGACAAAAATATTTATTACTACTGTTGAACCGAATGAAAGCATTAGTAGTTGGGGTAGTTTTGAAAAATTGCGGAATTGGGTGGAAATCGCGACGTAAAACGCAATTGAATAACCGTTTCGCTCGGATATTTTAATTATAAATCTGTTTCGGTTTTGGACCGGAGGCTGAGGGTGGAAATAAAAGAGCGGCGAATGAAATAAATAAATAAATAAATGGAGGAAATTAATTTCTCGTTCGGATGCCAGAAATGCATTTCGTTCAGTTCGGTTCCAGTTTTTGTTTTTCATATCCTTTTTTCGCAAACAAAAGGATGTTGCGGGAGAAGCGGAAGCGGCGAGAGAAAAGGATAAAAAGGATGCGACGACGACGACGATTGTGAACGAAAAAGAACATGAAAAAAACAGCAACAACAATAAAATAAACTGAAAAGGAAACAAGGGATGGGAAGAAAAGTTGCAAGTTAGTTGTTTGCCGCTGCTTAATCCAATTTAATGCATCAATTTGTAAAATAATTAAGGGACGTTCTAATTACGCTTTAATTCCGGTTCGGTGAAGGAAATTTATTTTAGTTGCTTTATTATCCTCGTTCGGAGCTCGGACGGAGAATGTAAAGAAAAACAGGGGAAAATGCGTTTGTGTATTTAGAGGAGTACTGACCTTGTTATATGTATGATGTATTTTACTTTACATCAATTGGTTTTTCTTTACAATTTACTTGTGTTTATTTTGTTAACAGGAGAAAGTAAAATGGTTATAAATTATTTGACAATATTGATTTAGAACTTATGCATATGCTACAAAACACTATTGACCTCTGTCTCTTCGCCCATATAAAAATTAACATAATCTTATACAATTATTTCAAATAAACACAGTAAAAAAAGCCAAGAATAGAAAAAAATAAGCATAAACGTTTATTAACTAATATCCAACAAAATATGAGTAAATAAATAAATATTTTTACATTATTACTTGTAGTTTAATAAAAATTATTGATTTACCAAAAACTGTAATAAAACATATTTTTATTTAATTTTTTTGAACGCTCAAAGATTTATTGCAAACTAATTTTAAAAAATCTGACAAAAATTTAAATATAAAATCGATAATTTAATGCACAAATCATGTTTGAATACATTATTTAAACAAATAAGGTAAATTGTATATTAGAAAACTCAATTTTGTAAATTTAAATTGTTTTATAATAATATTTTAGCTGAAATATTGTATAGAATAGACAAATTAATTAATTTCTATTATACTGATTGCAAATTTAAAGTTTCTCATGTCTTATTCAAACTGTGATTGTTTCTTTCACAATTAGCATTGACTTCAATCGAATATTGTATTTACACAATGAATTTGATAACCTGGAGATGTTTTTGTATTTGTATGGTAAAATGTATAAAGTTAGTGTGAAAGTGTAGAATCATTATGTATAATTTTATAGAAATTATATTGTTGTTATTGATTATTTTGAAAAAAATAATCAATAACAAATTCTTCATTCAAATTATGTATTTATACTGTGAAATGTTCTATATTTTGTATGTAATCGAAGACTTTAAAACTATACTGGTTTTATTGTTTTTTTTTTCAATTTCATCATTAGAATTATGTATTTATACTGTGAAATATTGTCGTGTCCCTGTATGGAATATCTCTGGACACTGTGGAATAATATGTAGCTTTGTCGATGTGAGTAAAGTCTATATTAATTTAGTGTAATTAACACTTAGATGATTCAGATTCTTAATCTAGCTTCCAGTTGATAACAAGCATAGGTTGCTGCTCATGAGTTATACTAGAACTATTACTAGGACTTATGACTTATAATTATAAAAGTATTTTCTTATACGTAAGAAGACGTACCACATATAGAATAATATTCATGGGTAGGGATTAATTTGTCCCTTGAAGTATACGTTATAAACCTGTGAAATAACAGGTAAGAAGGTCGAAGAACAAACAATGCGCGAGGCCTCTTAGTCTGGTGTGATAAAAAAGGTTCCGTATGAGTCTAGACTAAATAGTACTTTCGGGTAAAGGTGTCAACAAATACAGTAAATAATCGTAGTTAAATAATCAATTGGGACTAGATAGTATCCTTGATAAGAGCTAGTACAAATACAAATAGTAAATAATCAATGTGGACTAAACAGTAGTCTCAATAAGAGTGTGGACAATACAAAATCGAATAAAAACTTTAAAACCGTATAAAAAATAAACTGCACAAATACAGATTTGACTTTATAAAATAAAAATGTAGTTAGAAACAAATCATCTTGTGTTCTAAGTTTTTAGAATTTGTTTAGTTTGTATTCAAACCGTACTATAGTGAATCAGTGATCGCACTGTCGTGTCCCTGAGATGGTTTTCTGGACACTGTGGGATATCTTCTTCTGTTGTCGTTGTGGAGTCTCAGTTGTTGGGAATTTAATAAAATTCGTTTGGTTTTATATAACTTTATTTGTTACTTGGTCGATTTAAGATTCATCTAAGACTATGTTCATCTTTATAGGTCATAGTCCTATAATTTAGTGGTTGGACACAACAGCACGAAGTATTGCTGTATTTATTGAGTATTTAGTTTATTTGTAACGAATTACATCTTGCAGTTCTTTGGTAAAATATAGAATTTCTTAAATTTAAAGTATCTTTATAGTCTAGGGTTTATTGCTATTTAGTAGCCTTAGTTGGCGAAATACAGTTATGTAACAAGAAGTGGATGGGTACGTGTGAGAGCAAGTATTGAATATGTGGGCCCCAGGCAAATTTTAATATGGGGGTCCCATCTAATTTGAATTTAGGGCCCCGGGAGTAGTGTTTGTCTTAGTTTTCAAGTATCTATAATTAAAAACAACTTGTAGCGTTATGAGCCCTCTGGCTTGTGGGTTCGTTGCATGCGAAATATAGTCTGATATTCCTAAATTTCTAGACCCAACAATTTTTTAGACCAGTGGTTTCCAAACTTGATGTTAGTACGCCTCCCTCAAAAGTATGTAATCATTTGGCGCCTCCCCGTCCCCTCCATTTCATAAAAGGAACGCGTATTACAATATGGATACGAGCACAGAAATGTTTCTATACTTGCTGAATTCCCCAAACATTCAGCTTTTATATGGATATATTGGATTCATTCTATCTATTATAGTTTTCGAGTAAATCAATGAAATGTGAAACACTGCTTTTTCTAACGTTTTTTCAACTTTGTACGCGTATTACAGCAATATGGATAAGAGCACAGGAATGTATCTATACTTTGGAAAATTCTTCACTGCTACTAATATTCGCCTTAGACTAGGGAGGCGCGCCTCACAGTTTGGAAAACGCTGTTTTAGACAAGTGAGTCAGACAACTTCATCAATTAAATCAACATCGAATGGTATCAACTATCAAGATTCATCCCTTGATATCCATTTCTAGAAAATTATAATAATGAGTTCAAAAGGTGATACATTGCGTGTACCACCGCCACTCAAAGAGTTAAAGACTTTTGTATAATTA